TTTAAAATATCTCGTGTTAGTTATCTAATTAAAATATTTTCTCCGTGTATATATAGTAATAAAAAAAGAGTTAATATGTAATCAAAAGCAATGTTAAAATACTTTTACTGAAAGTATTTTAAATATTAAACCAATTCTTAACGATAAAAATGCAATATGCAATACATATTTAACAAACGTAAATAATAATTAATACCTATACGTTAATAATGAACTTAATACGTTAATATGTAAAATAGAAAACTCTTACATTTCATATACATAAAGAAAAAAAATGGCTTATTGCATATTGTAAAAACATATATTTATACAGTATATTTTGTTGGCAATTCTATCAACATCGAATCGTACACTTTGATAAATATAAAACGTAAGCTAAAAACGCAAATATAAAATATATAAACACGATTTATATCTTTTATATTTTAATACTTTAATAAAATTGTCATCTATCATATTTAAAATATTTCGTTAAAATTGTACAAGAGTTACTCTATGTATCTTCCTCTTGTTCGAAAAAAGAATTCTCCTTCAACTTTATGTTACACGTTATTGTTTTTGTATTATTACGTGTATTATTACATCTTCCTGCATTCGGAAAAAGATATTTTTCTTATGATACTGAAACAAAGTAAACTGTATGTTTCATTTTATATAGTGTAGCTCGTTTATACATTTCCTTAAAATGAGATCATTAAAATGAGAATTTAAATCGACATATGTATATATCATTATTATAAATACATTCCTCTTGTACGTTATCAAACAATTTCTTTGCTCTCTCTGTCTCTCTTTCTCTCTCTCTTTCTATTTATCTCATAATTAAGAATCGACACCATATGTAAAAACAATTACGTTGGTCGATAGGGACCCTGCATTTTAAGAAATTGGATTACCAGTGATGGTCCACCGGCTACAATTTCCATTGGTATATGCGACAGCGGACAATTTTCAATTGACATAATACCGAGATTCTTGCACAATGCCAGTTCGAATGGCAGATTGTGCAGAGACTTGTTGTCGTTGAGGTAGAGTGACTCTAAGCTCTCCAAGGTGCCAACCTCCTCCGGTAAATAAGTTAGTTGATTCTCGCCCACGCTGAGATACGTGAGATTCCTTAGATGTCCAATTGTGCGTGGCAATTCGGAAAGCCTATTCGACTGCAAGATCAACTTTTGTAACTCAGTCATCAAGCCAATCTCGTCCGGCAACACGTCAATGTAATTCTCCTCCAGGTCCAGCACCCGTAGCTTTTGAAGATTCACTATAGTGGTCGGAATATGTTTCAGTCCATTGTTAGAGAGAATCAGTATCTCCAAACTTTGCAGGCACTGTATGTCATCTGGGAGCTTCGTTAGCTGATTTGTTCCGAGGTTCAGCTCGACCATGGCCACCCAGGAACCGATATCTAGCGGCAAAGTGTTCAACTTGTTTTCCTTCATGTTCAACTTTGTAAGATTCTTGGATCGCGAGAAAATACCATAGGGTATCTTGTCGATCTCATTATGCTCTACATTGATGGAATAAGCGTTGACAAATTGACCTGGACCACCCGCAGGATACGAGGTAAACAAATTTCGGGACAGCGTAATCGTCGTAAGATACGACAAACTTGCTAGCAAACCGTCAGGTAGATGCGATATTTGATTGCCCTCCACACTGAATTCATCCATCATTTTACAGTTGGCCAATGATTTAGGAATACTTGTCAGTTTGTTATACCGGATTCCTAGTCTCGTCAATGATACCAGATTACCGATCGTATCCGGCAAGTCGAGCAGTTCGTTGTGTTGTACATCCAAGGTGGACAATTGCACGCACTTGCCAATTTCCGGAGGTAGGTGTTCCAAATGATTGTGCGAGACATCAAAAGTGACAAGATTCACCAGATCACCTATTCCCGCAGGCAGTTCCTTGATCTTGTTCTCGCGAAAGCTCAGCATGGTAAGATTCGTCAGGTTACATATATTGTTTCTGACATACTTGACGCGATTGAAGCGCAGGAACAACGTGGTGAGCGACGTTAATTTGTACACTACATCCGGAATCACTATGAGCTTGTTGTGTCTGAGATCTAGCACTCGCAACGATTTAAGGTTCTCCAGAGTGTTGGGCAAATTGGTGAGCGAGTTCTCGCTCAGCGCCAGAGTCTCCAGATTCGACAGATAGCCGATCTCGGGTGGCAGAGTCGTCAGCTTGTTGCCATAGAGGTAGAACTCCCTCAGGTGCTTCAGTTCCTTCACGGAACTAGGCAAAGTCGTGATACAGGCTTTGCTCAGGTCCAACCGTTTCACGCAGTCTTCCCTACATCGAATAAACTCCTTACCCACGTCCAACTCCGCTTGGATCGGCTTGGTCTTCTTACCAGCGGGTTTCAGCTTGTTCGAGTCCGGATGCTTAATCATAACAATTTTCTTGGAATCGACCAGACTACTACTGCTGCAGCTCCCAAAGGACGACATGGTGGAGTACTTTTTATCATGCATCAGTTGAAGCTCCACGTCCTCAGATATCTCGTTGCTGGTCGTACAAGCCGATAATCCGCAACCCTCTAGGTACTCAGGTATATCCTGCTCCTTCATATCGAGGTTCAAAAGACTGTCGTCCCCGAGACTCGTCGCGCGATTACGATTCGTCTTCGGCAGACACACCGTCGATATGTTACTCACGCTGGTGCAGTGTTTGCACGATTTTTTCATAACCTACAATCTTTCTTCCCCTACCGCGCGGCCGTCGCCAAATGACGCGACGCGACGAGGGTGCAACGGTGATGTATACACAGGCACGTCCGCGATAGCAGGTGAAAGAGATTCGCACACGTATATACGTATACGCACGCACGCACGGGACGCACGTCAATCCCCCCCCTCCAATCAAAGAAATCTCGAGATTGACCTGACCTGAGGTGACCAGAGGTGATTTGAGAACCCGAAAACGTGCTGCTTTTTACCGCGACTGGCAGACTCGCACGCGATCAAAGTAATCAGACACGTCTACGTAAAAGATCAACGCTGGACCATGAGACTCGGAGGAATCGACATTATAGGTGTAGACAGGTGTGGAGTGGCCTTCTGGCCTTTGCGATCCGTACGGCTTCGTATTCGACGGATTCGACCGAGGGATCACCTGTAACGACGCAAGCGCGAGCGTACTTATTGCTGGATTCACACTGCATCCAATTTTCGTCGTACGACGAATCTGCAACCAATTGGAAAACAGGATTTTGCCTCGCATCGACGATACGATTTTTCTGATTGGTTGTAGAGTCATCGTACGACGCACATCGGATGCAGTGCGAATCCAGTATATGGCACATACAAAAACGTAAGGCCGTAAAACGTAATCAGTAAGTGAATTGGCCAATCACAGTAGAGACCGTAAAGCCGGTAGCGAATCCAATGTTACGATTTCTTTACTGATTACGTCTTACGGCCTTACGTTTTTCTATGTGTTTCTGGCATAACCGTACATACACGTATATGCACATATGTATGCATACAGGCGTTACGTGTTTCTATGGATGTGTCTGTCAACCATTGGGCGCGTTCAGCAGATTCACTAGTCGAGTGAACGTTCGCTGCGTATCGGTGTAGTCTTCTAAATTTAAAGTTCTGATTGGATAGAGAAAACTAAAAGAATACACCAATAACAACGAGCGCTCAATCAACTGTTGAGTTTCTTGTGAGTGCATTGGCTGCGTTCAGCAGACTCAACAATTAGATCATCCAATCAAAATTTTAGTTCTAAGAGAATTTAGAATCTGTGTTGTGGACAAACGATTCCCGTATACATAATTATGAAAAATAATCGCTTGGGGGTGCTACAATTTTTTTTTGTGTATAACTTTTTTTTGGAGGGTGGACAAACGAAAATAACGGATGAACAAACGTGGACAAACAGTGAACAAACGAATGCAATAATGATTTTATCAAAATTCGCATTTAGGGGTGCCAACTTCTCAGAGCTGCTTTGAAAAGTCAGCATCCCTAAATGTGAATTTTGATAAAATCATTATTGCATTCGTTTGTCCACTGTTTGTCCACGTTTGTCCACCTATTATTTTCGTTTGTCCACCCTATTATTATTATATTTTTCATAATAATGAAAAATAATCACTTGGGGGTACTAAAATCTTTTTTTGTGTATAACTTTTTTTTGGAGGGTGGACAAATGAAAATAACGGGTGGACAAACGTGGACAAACAGTGGACAAACGAATGCAATAATGATTTTATCAAAATTCGCATTTAGGGGTGCCAGCTTCACACAGAGCTACACTCGCGAAAAAATGCGGGTTCGCTTAGTTAAGGCCGCAGCACACACTTTTGCATAACGCATAAACCATATACATAAAGAATTTGATTGGTCCATTGACTCATGCATAAGAAAATTGGCCAACGAAATTCCTTATGCACATGCTTTATGCAGAAGTGTGTGCTGCGGCCTTTATGTTGGATAGCTTTTGTTGTGGGCTGTTTCCAATGAAATGCAAGACTACAGTTAAATAATTACACAAGTTGACTTTAGATAAAATAAAAATTGCGTTTTTTTCTTTCTGCAAGTACAGATAAATACAGATAAAAAGTCCAATACTTTTTATAACAAAACGTATTTATACAATCCTTAGTAAAAATTCCTAGAAAGTGTGTTCTTCTATTGAACATTGAACATCGAACACGTTGCGAATCCTCCATTATATACATTGGTATAATCATGACAATAGGCATATTTCATGACTGTTTTCTAAGTCTGTTCTTTTTAATTGAATTTTTTTGCACAATTTCTTTATTCTTTTTCTTCTTGATATGAAAAGAAAAAAAGGAAAGGCGTATCGTGCAGAAGTTCAATTAAAAGGAACAAACCTCACGTCAACTTAAAAGAAGAAAGAGAGGGAACAAGCGACGGTGAATCGACCAGCTGGCGGCGAAAAAGAGAGAAAGAGCGAGGAATCGCCGCGGCCATATTGCCGCGATCGAGCGTAGTATTTGTTTTGTCGGTGGAAGAGCTGCGCGTTGGTCTCTCATGCGTGCGTGCGCGCACGCGTGCGAATCCGTCTCTGCGTCTCTTGTCAAGCAAGCAAGCAGATTGTGGCAAACCTCGAACAACCGCGACGTGAAACCACCACCACGTCCATTTAAAGTCGCTGGACGGAGCCGTTGGTGTCGTATCGTTCAAGACGCACCACCTTCCTCCCCCCCTCCCCCTCCTCCACCACCCGTAGCCGACGTCTGTTCCGCGCCCCACCCTTCTCCCTCCCCCTCTTGGGGGGTCCACGGCTCTTGCGACTGGGTGTCAGTCGCGCGCACAGGAATATACGGGTAAGTTCGAGAACGCTGCGCCACCACCGCCGACAGCAGTAGCACCATGGCGTGCGCCACGCTCAAGAGGTCCTTGGAATTCGACCCGGTGCACAGCCACGGCCGGCCCAGCAAACGACGAAGGTGCATGCCGATGTCGTGCGCCTCGCCCGGCGCTACCGCGTCGTCATCGCGAGGTGGACCGCTGCCGCAGAAATCGTCGCCGTTCGGCGAGATAGCTAACAAATTGACGCCTGGTAATTACACCGCAGGCCACGGCCATTTTTTCTCTCGCTCTCTCTCGCACCCATCGCATTTCCCCTGTGTTTATCTCGGTCTCTCGCTTCTCCTCTCCCCTTATGCCTTCCTGTCGGTCTCTTTCTCTCTCTCTCTCTCTTTTTCTCGCCCGCTCTCCGTTCCTCCCTCGCACGCGTATTTGTCTCCATTGCGCACAGAATGAGCGTGAAGGGGCGTGAAAGATTGGGCGAAAGAGAGACGGCGAGTAGGGGCGGCTAAGCTCTAGCGATTTAAAACCCGTCCACCCGGCGGGAGGGGAGGGGCACGCGTAAATCATATGGTAATGCAGTAACGGACACACTCGGGGATTCGGGTTTTCCTTCCCCTTTTTTCCTTTTTCCCCCGCTCTGTTTTTCCACGCTGCGAAAGGAAGCCCGCAAAGATGCGCCTGAAGCAGCGTTTTCTACTTTCCTTGCACATGCGACAAGCCTGTGATAGTATGTATATATGTATATATCGAGATCACTTACATATGTGTATGTATATACATGTGTTTGCATGTATAATATGTATGTATATATATAATATGTAATATGTGTATGTATATATATATACATATATATACATACACACACACATACACACACACACACACATAAGAGACGTTTCATTTTTGAAAGAGAGTTATCGCTGATGTCCATCATGATTGGACAATTAGAATATATTAAAGGATAGAAAATAGGGATTTATTCAGGTACACCGTTGAATAAGTCGTTAAACTTGTGTAATCAGTCAAAAACAAAAGCTACAATTGAGAAAAACTGGAAGAAACAAAAACAGCCATTTGAAACATGTCAGCTGTGACAATATAATATAAAATAAATAAGTTAATAAATTAAGCAATGGAATAAGCAGATAGTAAATTGAGAAAGAAACGTTAACTAATCCAGTCAATATACTAAAGTTGTAAAAAACATTACAAGTACATTTATAGAAACAGCTATATATGCATATCATTAAATTATTCTTCAGTTCTTATAAGTCATTATATAGCATGTGGCATACCTGAACAATGCTAAATGATATTTAATGTAATATATTAATTCTTTATATAATAGTAGGAGATGCCAAAGAGACCTTGCGGATTATCTGACCCTTGCTATTTACTTCAACAAGGCGAGAAGCATATTGATGAAATAAACGGCAAGGTTCACGAAACGTTAGAATTATCAATGGATCACAATAACCTATAAACTCTTTGGCACCTTTAAAGAAAATACTCGTGAAAGCCTTAAAAGCTTAATATAATATTATACAAATTAGTTATTCTATTTGTATAAAAAATTATTTAAGTTTTATGTATAATATACATTTAAATACTTAAAAAAAAGATTTAAATATTTTACAAATTTACATTAACACGGACATTGTTTTATATAAATCGTGTTAATTTTAATCACATAATTGTATTAATAATTATAAAATATAAATATTCAATATAAATGAAATCTAAAAGAAACAAGCTCTGTTGGAAAGTTTGTTATTTTCACCAAATCACTCTTCAGTATTAATCTAGGCAAAGATTTTAAGTTTTTAATTTAAATATTTTTTTACATAAATATATTTTGTTACAAGACTTATTGACCATAAAATAGAAATTATTAAAAAAATTTATTATAAAAAATACACATTTGTTTATACAGAAAAGATGGCGGCCAACATCAGAGAAGAAATCCGCAGATTGCAGCGACGTAAACAATTGCACTTTCAGTCTCAAACGAACAGTGGCGATTCATCAGATATGGAAGGACCTTCAAGTCCTACCGGCCCATCTGGCTCTTCTTTAACTCTCTTTAGTCATAACACTAGTGGAAAAGAAAAACCACTTTTCACATTTAGACAGGTAAAATCTTCTAATTGTTTGCATATTTCAATAGTAAATACATACATCTACCTTTTGTTTATGTTCCCATATAGCACAGAAACTTGTAGGAACATTGCTGTAATGTTTGCAATGTTGCTGGAATGATCTGTATAAAGTTGGGATTCTTCATTAGAGATAAATATCGATCGTTACAAGTAAAAGTTTAGATTTTGTTGATATGTCTATGAGATTGATGTTATAGGTTGGCTTGATCTGTGAGCGAATGCTCAAGGAACAAGAAACGCAAATCCGAGAAGAGTACGATAAGATCTTACATTTAAAGCTCTCCGAACAGTATGACGCTTTTGTTAAATTCACGTACGATCAGATACAAAAAAGATTTGAATCCTCAGCTGCACCGAGTTGTAAGTACTTTAAGAATGTTTGTGCTTATACGCCGTTCATTTTTCTTATATAACACTACACAATATTAATATTTTCAGACCTATCATAAGAAAAGTTTCTTATTTATAAGAAGACATTTTTGTGAGGAGTATTAGGTAAGTTTTGTGAACATGTTCTTTTTTTCCTAGAGAAAACCATCAAACGTTTTTCACTATGAAACAATTTCAATAAGATATAAAGCAGAAGTCTCACTAATTTTTAAAAAAATATTTTATCATATTGTAGATTTCTACTGTGTGAGACAAATTTTGCTTTTGCGCCGAGGTTTGCAGCGCCGCCTCGCTTCGAGAATCACCTTTAAAAAGATAACAAATGGTTTCAGCAGTGTCTAATAAAAAAAAAAAGAACTAAAAAGGTGAAAACGGGAAAAAAAATAATGATTAATAATGTAAGTTCGTAGAGAGAAAGAGAGTGAGTGTAAGAAAGAGAAAGAGAGAGAGTAAATTGCGGTGAATTGTAAACATATTGCGAAAATTTACCATGTATACTTTCGAGACTAACAATATTTGTACTGTTCGACATTAGAAGTGCGCTGGTATCAGGGAACTGATTCTACTTATGTACAAATGTTATTACGGTTAAAAATACGATATATGTACACAGTGCAAGGCTAAAGCGCAAAGCTTAATATCCAGCTGAAAGAAGTGAGAGAGAGAGAGAGAGAGAGAGAGAGAGAGAGAGAGAGAGAACGAGAGAGAAAACTAAGAGATTTCTTTCTAGCTTGTCACATATATGGAACACACAGACACACACACACAAGGATATATTTTTCTCTTAGCTTGTTTCGGATATTGTAAAATGTGAACGGAAATTTAAGACACTTTGCGCAAGTCGTATAGATAGAGCATTGTGTTGAATACTAAGGTATTTCAATAAGTTTTTCGTTTGTTCATCTTGATGCTACGACAGTTTAGATATTGCTCAAATATATACGGCAACCAGTGCTCTGAGCATCTTATCGCAAATATGTGAAATACATCTGCGAGTTTCGAGGCTGGAGCATTCGCGAATGAAAGGATTGCCTTTTCGAATCCTACCTGCTCAGTAAAGCGCAGGATGACGTTTAGAATCCAATGTATGATTGCGTATAAATTAAGAGATTAAATAATTCTACGACTTTTACTTGTATATTAAAATCTACAAGAAAGCTACATTAGTATAATTGTAAACTTGTTAAATTGATAGTAATGAATTTGTTTTGATTAGTTTTGAAGTTATAATACACTTGTATTAGATTTTAAGGTTATTTCCTTTGGCTAAAAATTTTCTATTTCAAATAAATATACAGAATAATAAAATTGAAAAATTTTTTGCAATTTTTCTTTTTCTATCGAAAATTCTTGTAAAAAACAAAATAAAGATCTCATTTAAGATAAACTATACGAAAAGCTGTAAAAGTGTCGGGATAATATTGTAGATTATAGTAGGCATTGTACGAAGGCATTGTGAAGCGGTGACTATTTGGAATAAAGATTTCATAAAATCTCGTCACACACAGCATTTCTGTTCCCTGGTAGCAACGAATTTCTGTAGTTGTAATTTAAAAAAAAAAGTGCTGAGTAGTGAATATAACTATATACCGTACTCTTTAACTGTGCCTATTATTAGACATGTTTGTCATGATTATTATTATTATTATTATGTTATTATTTACTGTTATCGCTGTCGTAAAAAATTTTTATAGTTTGTAGCAATTTCTCATTACGTTATCGTATGCTGCGCGCGATGATTTCTTTTTCTTTTTTTACTCAATTAAGATAGGGTTCTGCGAGTCTTGGTGGCTGCGTGCATTTTTTTTATATCCCAGCGTGAAATTTTTCGTTCCGCCGAGTATTGAGAAAAAGACATTTAAAGCACCAAGTGGAACATTCTGGAAAGTTGTAAGCATACAATGTAAAATGATCTTCGACCGACTATGCCTATAGTTATGACTATCGAGGAAACGATATGTCGTACGATTTCGATGGGCATTCGAATTACTGCCTTTTTCATATTGCGTAAAAGAAAAGAAAGAAAGTGTCTCTCAGTTACCACAATATTTTTGGGAGCATCTTACGCCGAGGTGTTCACGCCCACACACGTAAACACAGAAAAGTATATACTATATTACAACGACTGTATCAACTATTGATTGCGAGAAAAAAAGAAGAAATAAATTACGGAGAAATATAAGCGGGTTTAATTACTAACGTTAAGTAATATCTACTTGATGCTCGCAATAGATACGTGTTAAAGAAAATCGTGAACACACGCGAGCGATCATTTGAAAAATTCAGGGGATTTCATTTAAGCTGCAGAAAATACCTCCATATTATATTATGTAAACATTCATTATCGAAATAAACTTAAGACTGAAGACTTGTAAGAATATTATTTCCCTCTCAATAAAATTGTTACCATTCTTCTATACTGTAGACATAATTGTTACAAACAATTTAGTTAATGATTTTTAGAATATGGCGAAAAAAAGTATATTTTATATATATACACAAATGTTTCGTATTACAATGTTACTGATTTGAATATTTATATCTTGATCGAAAATGTATAAGATTATACACTCTGTCACATAAAACCTGCAATCCTCTTAAATCAATTTTATAACGAAGTAATTTCATTAGCCGTATTATTAGTAAGTATGGCTTCGAGAGGGAAGCCCCTGCAAGACTATATGAATCCGGACTGGGTGCCGGGGACGTGTCACTTCTGGGCGGGAAATAAATTTCTCTGCTAAATCACTTTGTTCGTTTAGAAAAAAAAAAAAACAGTGCCAAATGTTTCCTGTATTATTTTTGGCCTTCGTTGTAGCCGTTAAGGTATTTAAAAAGAGCACTCCTAATGGTGAGTACGCTTAACTCTATCGAGACTTTGACATCTCATTTAGCTTTCTTAATAAGTCGCGCTTAATAATGTCACATTAAAATATCCTATAGGCAAAATTACGGTATATCTGGGCAAAAGAGACTTTATTGACAATCTAGAGCGCACTGATCCCATCGACGGTATTCTCGTCGTGGAAAATGATTACCTTCAGGGGCGCAAGGTCTTTGGTGAGGTAAGTAAAACGCAAAAGACGTTCAGTTTTTTCTTGCATAAATATTCTCAGATATGATTCCTGAAAGTCGTCCAGCATATTTCTCATTAATATATAACATTGTAATGATATATTGTATTTAGGTCTCGACAACCTATCGATATGGCCGTGAAGAGGACGAAGTTATGGGAGTCAAATTTAGCAAGGAGCTGATATTGTGTCGCGATCAGATAATACCTGTGAAGAAAGAGAAGCAGGAGACTACATTGATTCAGGATCGCTTGATGAGGCGTCTGGGTTCAAATGCATATCCATTCATGTTCCATTTTCCGCAAACAGCTCCTTGCTCGGTCACCCTCCAACCCGGTGATGATGATCAAGGGAAACCCTTAGGAGTCGAGTACGCTGTGAAAATATTCGTTGCAGATAGTGAAGAAGACAAGGTATAGAAATAGGAAATGAGACATACATGAATATAAGAAATTGATGCACAATATAAAAACAAATTAATAATTTAAACCATTTCTGCAAAAACCTGTTTTATATTTTACCAGGGACACAAAAGGTCCTCTGTTTCATTGGCCATCAAGAAGCTACAGTACGCTCCACCGATACGAGGCCGCCGACTTCCCAGCTCTTTGGTTTCTAAGGGATTCACCTTCTCCCAGGGCAAACTGAATTTAGAAGTCACACTGGACAAAGAACTCTACTATCACGGCGAGAAAGTTGCGGCGAACATCACAGTTACGAACAATTCGCGAAAGGCAGTAAAGAACATTAAGGTATAAAATTAAGAGTTCCATCCTTCTTCTTTTAAGAGATTTTTTTTTTATACAACTACACAATTTTTATATAATCTCCATACAGTTACATAATCTTTTACAGTTTTACTAGAATTAAATCAAAGAAAAAGTTTTTATTATAGTAGAATTAAATCAAAGAAATGTTTGCATTTTACGCTATTGTGTTTTCTTCGCAGTTATTTGTCGTTCAACATTGCGAGGTGACCATGGTAAACGCCCAATTTTCGCGACACGTGGCTAGTTTGGAGACTCGCGAAGGTTGCCCGATCACACCGGGTGCATCCTTTACTAAACAATTCTATCTTGTGCCTTTGGCCAGCAGCAATAAGGATCGGCGTGGCATCGCTCTTGACGGACATCTCAAAGTATGTAATAAGTTTAAATAAGTTTGAAATGATTAAACGTAATTATTTTATTAATCGGTAACTTTTGTTTTTGTTATGCTGTTAAAATATATAAGATTATATAACATAAACTTTACCAATATTATGTATATTTATTTAAAAATATTTATTTAATACGATATATAACTTGTAAAAATATTAATTTTTTAATATATAATATATAAATATATACAATATTAATATATTAAAAAATATGACAAAATTCATTTCGAGTATTCTGTTTAGGACGACGACGTAAATTTAGCATCCTCAACTTTGGTAGCTGAGGGCAAGTGCCCAACTGAAGCTATGGGTATTGTAATTTCTTATTCAATCCGAGTAAAGTTGAATTGCGGTACCCTGGGTGGCGAACTAGTTACTGATGTTCCATTTAAACTGATGCATCCAAGCCCTGGTATGTCATTTGAAATATTTTGCCATTGTATATGTATTGTAATTATCGTCATGTAACTGTCTTGATTAAATAAAAAAGTTTACTTACATTTTTGAACGAAAGATTCCGAATTTAAATAAAACATTTTAAATTTTCAATTGAGATTTGTTTAAGCAGTTTGCTTTTCTGTGCAGGCGCCATTGAAAGAGAAAATGCCATATTAAAGAAAAGCAAGAGTATCGACAAGGCACGGTACGAGAACTCCTGCTACGCCAACGATGACGATGATAATATTATATTTGAAGACTTTGCTCGTTTGCGCTTGAATGAACCAGAGTAAACCAGAGAGACAAAGAGAGAAAAAAAGCGAAAAGTTAGCGCTTTCTATCTTGCGATTACTTTTAAAAGAATCCTGAGCTTTCTGCTTGTGATGAATTATCTTTCGTGTTTAAAATTAAAAATTTAATTTTCAAATATTAATGTTAAATCTAAAATTAATTACATATAATTAAGAAACATATAACTTAAGATATTTTAAATAATTTATTTAAATATTTTGTCTTTTTGGATTCTTTTAAATCAGTTTCTAATAATAAACGAGCTGTATTAAATAAATGTAGGTAAAAAAGAACACTATTAAAAAACTACATTATATAATGAAACTGTTACTGAAGAAAAAAGTGGAAAAAAAAATACAAAAAAATCGAAAAGATAAGTAAATGTAAAAAAAGTCTCAGAACTTCTGTGCAATGGTGGTGGTTGGACAGAAATTCATTGTGAGATGAACAAAAAAAAAAAAGAATATCAAGTAAGCTTAATAATTGTGATTAAGTTTAAGAATTTCCCGTTTTACCAGAAGTGACATGGTATATTATTCGTCCCAATTAATTTCTTATGTTACGATATTCCACACATTCATGTTTATTTATTAACAAAGAACTGTTGATTAACGGTACTGTTCAGTTGTAATTACATTAGAAAATACATATGAAACTGTAAAAAAAACGCATCTTTATCTTTCTCTATTCAAATCAATTCGTCAAATCCTTCAAATGGTACAGCGAATACATGCATCTGCTACATTATTGATATAGAGAAATACATATAGGACGATCCCGTCAGGATTGCTACGTCGTTATGAAAGATCTCGCATCATTATCGAAAATTATATATTTTTTGTGGCTATACAAAATATTACAGGAAACAACGATACCAAATCAATATCAGTCTTATGCAGAGCATTATGAAGACGACACACTCTCGTTGTTCTTCGTCTAGTCGTACATATGCGAATAATATTCTTGGTATGTCTGGATATAAGACTCCTTCTCTATGGGCGTCATTTCCGCAATCAAGATGTCGTTAACATCAGTGATTGCGACGGTTTTGCCACCGACACTGACGGTCGGTACTAGTTCATCATCCTCAGAATCCATCGCCTCTATCTCACCTAAAAATTGATTCGATAATAGTAAAATTTAAGAAGATATAATTAGAAATCATCTAAATATTCTCTGCAAGTTTCTTTTTTATTACGTTTCGAGGTTTTCTATATTATATTATTCTCTTCAGATTATCACAACACGTTGGAATTATTGATAAATTTTTTCTTACCGATATCAACTGCCTGCATTTCGTCCTCCTCATTCTCGCTGCTATCACTGGATTCCTGTGGAAGCGCTGCTTTAATAGATGCCATGGAATTGGTACCGCCCTTCTTCTCGTGAGCCAACAACACCGACATGATGTCCTCGCCTTGCTTATTATTCGTCGTAGTCGTGTTTGTGGCAGTGGCTGCAGCTTTATCCAAAATGCTATCTTGCGTATTCACGCCATCAGGCTGTAAGATATAAATAAAGAATAAGATCTATATAACTTAAGACACAATTGGAAAGCATATGCAATCAGAACAAGGAATAACAGATTTCAACTATTAGAATAAATGATTTGACAATTTAAAATTTGTTATTCTCTGTTTCTGTTGCTTATACTTTTCAATTGTATTTCAGGCTTAAATAAAAAATGCAATAAAACGACAGAAATAATACCTGTGAACCGTCAGAATTAATAATTGTGCTTTCCATCATCCATATGGGTCTCTCTTTTCTGTGATTCGACGCATTGTCATCGGGAGATTCATCTCCAATAGTAACGTCCACTCTGGTGTCCTCCACTATGAAGCCTGTCATTCTGGTAGCTTCACCTGACCACTGTTCACTAGGTGCCCTAAGACTGCTCGGTTTTCTTGTGTCGACACTATTAAAAACAATTATTTTAATAAATGTCTTTATACATAAACATTTCTTTAGAAACACATACCCTCGAATAGTATTGATATCAATGGGTTCTGGTTCCAGTATTTCAGGCGCCAATTTGATCCCTTCTACTTCCCTTAATAGTATATACAGTGGCTCCAACTGTACATTAAACTTTGCTAATAATAATCTGGAATCTTTCTTTGGAAGAGCAGACTGATCTTCTTCCACTATCTCTCGACAATATGTACATCTAAACTCACCAGTTCTCATGTCAAACAGTTGATCTGCCTATATAAGAATTTAATAAAATCTGTATTACATATACCATGTATTTTAAATTAAAAATTATGCTATTTGTGTATAACTTTTAGAACTTAAAATGAAATAGATAGATACATTAGATATTTGGTAAAATCAGTTCTAATGTAGTCTAGTACAAAAACAAACCTTTACAATTTAATATTATATTTTAAATCAATGTATTATTATAGTTATTATACATCACTTAATTATAATACAATATAAATATAAAATGTTTTTTCTTAAAAATAAATGTTCTTAATTTAATTCTTAAAATTATATTAATTATACAACACTATACTTACTTCGAGATCAGTAAATGTCTTTAAACAACTTGGACACTTAAAGCTGGCTCTACTAGTTGCATCTCTCTCCTCAGTTTCCATTCTCTTTCTCATTAGATCAAGTTTATACTTCACTACATTTACGAACGTCTAAAACAAAGACGTAAACCTTTTTTAATTATTCTTCCATTTGCTAATATTTTTCATCAAGTTAAAAAGAGTCATAACCATGTTGCCTACTTTATAATTAATAAAGTAATAGTTGACTTTCTGTGCTTTGCCATCTAACCCTGTCTCCATCTTCAATCTCACTTGAATAAACTTATCACTTCGCAGTGTAGATATCCTAGCTCTTAACATCTTTCGTTCAAATTTAAGTAATTCACAAATGTCATCTTCTTTCATACCTGTAATATAGTCTTTTATTATAAAATATATATTCTCCAATTACAAAGTATTTTCTAAATCAGTGTATAATTACTTACATGGATTTCTGACCAACATATCCACAATCAAAGCATCTTCAATCGTGTAAAACCCACGTACTACAAGACGTGCCAGTTTCTTCAAGCTACTAGGTACCTCAGTGACAAGTCTCTCCTCGACACTCATATTTTAGATGATCAAAACAATTTTCGGTAATTATACAGAATAGGTTCCACAGCTTAAAAATCAATGAAATTAAGCTTATATTCGACGCGTTTTTCAAACAATATCGATATCGCACATTGTCAAATAACAATAATTGATAATTATTTAGAATACGGTCGTCACCTTCGATTTCGATGAAATTGACTTATTCGACGCATTTTACACAAAACGAAAGAATCTGTAAGAAAAAACGTTAGGACGGTCCCGCGAACCGAGATATTAAGCGTTAAAATTGATGACTATATAGAGGTTAGGAAATCTCGCTTAATATCTCGGTTCGCGGGGCAGAGCAACGCTTATTTCTGCCAAATTCTTTCGTTTTGTGCAAAAACGCGTCGAATAAGTCTAATTTTATCAAAATCAGAGATGACGACCGTATTCTAAATAATTACCCAAATTTTACCAATAATATTATTATCGTTATTATTACGTTCACTATCAGTTTACATGCTAGGCTCACAGTTTCATCATGTTAAACTTCACCATAATCACACACACCACATTCTCTAAAAATATAATCACTGTACTTGTAGAATTGTAAGTGTATCTTCATTTTTCTCCTGAAAATCAAATCTACTTGTTAAAAAAAGATATTTTACATTAAAATATTGACGAGTGGAAAAGTCAAAAGCTTCACGAATACAAATATTACACCAGGAGTTCTTACAATGGTCAAGTGGCGTCGAGTCTCGAGTGGCTCACCGCTCGGTGCGATTGACTCGCGATATGTAGACCCGAGTTCAATCCCACGTGCGCTCAAACGCGATTTTTCGCGTTTAATGAGCCAAAAAAATGGCTCCACCTGGTGAATGGTGATCAAAAGATCTATGATCATCAGCGCCGTTCGGATTCGGCGTTAAACTGTAGGTCCTATACATCAGTAGTATACATATATCAGTAGATATTTATCTCATATCTGACTGAGGTAGGATTCTGTGGACCAATCAGGACCAATCACCCACAAATCCGAAGAACAATCTGATTCGAGAAACGAATATAGGCCTCGGACAAAAGAGGTCTTATAGAGACGTCCTATGCTCCATAAGGAGATAAAAGGAGTCGTCTTACAATAGAGTCCTAGATATCAGAGAAGCGCAATCGGCTTAAGTCAGTATCGCAAAATTACTAAGAAAAGTATTAAAAATGGCGTCGTTTGCAGACGAAATATGAAATCCACCAATCGTCTATTAGTCAGCCATTTTTAATATCATTGAATGAATGTCATGATTGGCTGACAGTCAGCTAATCAGAACGCGGAACATCGGTTGCGCTTCTCTGATATCTAGGACTCTATCTTACAATAGTTAGAATTTTCTCCTGTTCTTCTTCTTCTCTTGTTATATTTGTTCTGAGCTGGAGCGTAAAGCGGGGAGCACAGGCTTTTGCATAACGCATAAAGCATGTGCATAAGGAATTTCATTGGTCCATTGACTCATGCATAAGAAAATGGACCAATGAAATTCCTTATGCACATGCTTTATGCGTTATGCAAAAGTCTGTGCTCCCCGCTTTAGACATTCGGCCGTCATGATTCAGTAATTATTTTACACATCTAACTTCTATGTAATACATAGGACATACAAATATTTCAGTTTGCTGCATATTTTATAGGTTTTAGAATTACAAAATTGTGTTTAAAAAAAATTAAAAAATAAATTAAATAATAGTAAAATGAGAAGGGTTACGAACCCAAAAGCAAAACAGTTTAAAAGACGATGACAATAAGTGTCGAAACGTCGTTTGTTTTTATCTTGTCATTTTTACTTTACTTAGTCATCATCAACCGCGACACAAATTTTGACAATCCCCTTATAAAATACATACATTAATCATAATACTTTTCTAAACTTGTGCAGAAAAATATCGACAAGAAAAATAAAAAGATGACGTTTCTTTATAGCTCGCTATAGGCTTTTCATTAGACACGCGCATGCGTATTGCTTGGAAAACTGCGTGGCTCTACTATCAACAATCAAACACTTCTGCTAAATGACTGTCAATTATCACAAATTTTTACACGTAGAATTTACATATAAAAAATTTTAATAAGAATGGCGGCGATCGATAAAGTTAAAATTATTGTAGTAGGTGACTCAGGTGAGTGTAAGAAAAATATTTAATATTTTAAACTGACAATAATCTTTTCTGGAATATTGTTGATATTCTATTGTTGATTTTATTTAAATGAAGTCAAGTAAACTTGGGATAAATATTATGATAAAGATATTTCTTGTTAACGTTGATGTTTCTTTTAATATCAGATATTCTTAATTTTTACACATTAAGGTTATGTATAATTATATATATAATTATGTGATAATATCTGTTTGTCTTTTATAGCTACTGGTAAGTACCATTTATATATTTAAAAAGGAATAAGTAAATCCTTTTCTTTTTAACTAAACTTTTTGCATGATTCATCTTCCTTTTTTTCCCCACACTAAATAGAAAAAAAAGAAAAAAATTTATTCTATAAAAAGTTCAGTTTAAAAAAAAAACAGATTTACTTAATTATATGTTTGATATTTGGCAAAAGCTAGAAGAAAAATTTTAGACTTTTGCAGCAACAAAACAAATCTAATATGTGCAGATTGTGAACTGTTATAAGAATGTATGATCTATATAATAATGATAAACATTTTTGTTATTGCAGGAGTTGGTAAAACATCGCTGACACATTTAATATGCCAACAGCAACCTATCGGCAATCCTGCTTGGACAATAGGTTGCTCGGTGGAAGTCAAGTTGCACGAGTACAAAGAAGGTACACCGAATCAAAGGAGATACTTTGTCGAGCTATGGGATGTCGGTGGCAGTCAAAGTCACAAAAACACAAGATCTGTATTTTACAATCCCACGAACGGTATATTCATATTTTATAATAGTTAAATGTACAACATATTCATATTTGTTTGACATACAAATGCATAATTGCGACATAATGTGACAGTGATTGCAAATATATATCATTCACAACTAGGCATAATATTAGTCCACGATTTAACAAATCGTAAATCACAGCAGAATCTACAGAAATGGCTAGAGGAGGTTTTAAGTAAAGATGGAACTTCCTCAAGGTCCAAGTTCGAAGACTTTGATCCTGAGAAGTTTGTGGGCTCGACGCAGGTGACAATAATTTTCCAAACTATTGTGATACATTAATATCAAACTACATAAGTATAATAAGTATAAATAAATAACACTTATTTCTAGATTCCAATTTTAGTCATTGGTACGAAACTTGATTTGATCTCGGAATCCAGTTTTGTAAAATCCAACATACACAGACGTTCAGCGACCATCGCGGAGGAATGTGGTGCCGATGAAATATTTTTGGTAAGGTCTTACTAAAGGACTACACTTATCTGATAGATTCACCATTTAAGAAAATTAATTAATATTTGATTGTATGTAAAATTTGTATTCAACATATGGTTAACACTTTTGCTTCACGTTTATTATAATAGGATTGCCATCAGATAAGATCGTTAGCAGCGGGTTCCAGTTCGTCTGTGAAGCTCAGTAGATTTTTCGATAAAGTGATCGAAAGACGTTACTATTCCTCCAAAGAAGCAATTAGTCCTGATAAGCGAAGGCCGCCACTATATACTTCTTCGATCTATCCAAAGTTTTATCATAACGACTGAGTGCCAAGAGTACTGTATCAAGAGATCTCAATTTTATTTCTTGTTACACAGAATAATCGTTCTTGTGACACGACGCGTTATAGGATTACGCGGATTAAGTATTGCAAGGTTATCGATCTCGCATTTCTTATCCACATTCCTAATCTTCCCATGGAAGTATCTCGTCAGATATGCTCAAAAGAAAGAGAAAGACAACTATCAATGCAGTGTAGATAAAAATATATTAGGCACTCGATACATCTTTCACGTATCTATATATATATTGTAAAGACATCGCATTGTATACAACACTTATTTTATAATATAACATAAGTAATTATATGAAAAAAATATACGTTATATTTTTTTTGTTAAATTAGTATAGAATATCCTATAAAGATTTCTCAACACAGCAAAAGGTATGTGGATTGAGATTAAAACAAGATGAGTTTTCGTTGATTGATCAATTGCATTGTATGTAAATAAAAGGCATGGATTGTACATTTTGAAACAAAGTAAGAATGAAAGTTAGCGAATTCATTAGATACTGATCAATGAGATTATAAATATTCTAATTTGCTCACTTTTGAAATTTTTATCTCATTTTAAGATATACACATTCGACCCGCAGCTTATAATGAACAAGATTACGTTTAAGCATAAGTACGATTGATCAATTAATGAGATAAAACACCTATATATATAGCAGAAAGAAGGCTTCTTTCTAATTGCGATTTGATTACTGGTCGCAGCAGCTGAATGTAAAACTTATATTTTTTTTATGTATTATAGTAATCACCACCGTATAAAGGTAAAGTCAAACCTTTTTTATTTTTTTTTTATTCGAGAAAAGTGTTCGGACAAAAAAATAAATTTTTCTAAAGATAATTTATAAAATAATTCATTAAAAAAATAAAATAAAAAGAAATAAAATTATAAAGATATAAAAATAATAATACATAAAGAAAATTTATAAAACAATTCGGCACTATGTGTTAATAATTTAATTTATTTTTCTTTTTCTGTGAGTCAAACTTGGACATCGCGAGCCACCATTAGCGTATTCCTGGTCTACATTGCAAATAAATGCAAAAAACGATGACACGGATTGTTCAAACTGCTTGTCAACTGCCCAGAATATTATAGTTCGTGGTATGAATTCGTTTTCGTGACGGCGCGCGGCGAACGTAATCTTTCAAAACGCACGTCCTCTGACGTCCTCGCCGAATGAGTGCGGACGCAGAGGCGCGTGACAGGTGCGCGGGACAATTCGTACATATGGTTTGAACAGACAGTTACGAAGCGGGGGAAAGCGGGCCTTTCCTCCTATAGAAGCTCCGTGGATCTCGACTTAGGATTCTGTTAGTAGTCTGTCGTGTTCCGGTCGTGAGAGTGAGATCCAGTGAAGTTGACGTGCTACCTATCCGGCTCTCCACGTGTGTGTGTTCAATTTGGGTCAGGCACGTGCATTTGCCTGCCATTTTTTTTCGTTCAAGGTTATCACATCTATACGTTAATAGATATAAAACCGATATGATATTATGTGTGATAACATCGATAAAAGAATCATTCTGCCAGATTTCTGAGATTATGGACCTTGACCAAGATTAGCTTAATCATTATTAATAACTAGCTTGTCAAGCAATACTTATATTTTTTTAATAACAGTCGGAATTATTAATTTTAATTATACAGGAAAAAAGATTAAGTATGACGAATTATGTAGCTGGAAATTTACTTTTACGTAATTCTGTCAATTGAATTAGTCATCAATTTATTAATTGAAGTCACAGTTGTCCTACATGTCTCCAAATTTATAGCATAGATGTGATGCTTGAGTAACTTGATGAAGCATAGATCTTAACAAATAGCTTTTTTGCTTTCTAGGTAATATTCCTGTGATTATGTCTTATCATCTCGCAAAGACGTGTACTAGCACAAATAGTCTCTGTCATGTGTTGACACATGTACGACCTATGATTTGCATTCAGAGATACAGCTATGCTCACGATATAAACATAAACTTGAACGGTGGACCAGTCAGTATTCTGCAGCAGAAAATAGCTAGGGGTGAGCTGATGGACGATACGTATCAGATAAAAGTGGTGCAGAGTCTGCAGAAAATTTATCAAGAAGTTCAAGATTATAAACCACAGCAATTAAATCTGTTGGAAAAATGGTTTGGCAGCAAGCGGAGGGATGCACCAAAAGGGTTGTACATTTATGGAGCAGTGGGTGGAGGTAAAACAATGTTGATGGACCTATTTTACAATTGTTGCCAGGTATCTCTCTGGTTGCTGTATGCATAAATACTATACATGGAAGGCTAAATTTAATACCTTAATCTGCTTAATGTGACAACACATGTTTTTTTTTCATACAATCTAAAAACAGAGATAACAATTCTTGTGTAATTTACGTGACTTGTTGGTTGTTATTAAAATAACAATTACTGATATTGTGCGACGAGATATCATAAGAAAGATTTTTTTTAATTGAAATAAACAAGTTAAAATAAAGGTTTGATATCTTCAATATATATGGATTATTAGCATTTTTAACTTTTGTATACATATAACTTTAAATTAAAATGAAGAACCACCATGTATTTTTCTGAAATTTAGAAATAATGCTAAAATTGCATTTATTTTTAATTTGAGATGCAACATCATATTATATTAGATATGAAGTTAGCATTAGCAGTCTACGTATATGTGATTGAAGAGTAACACACATAGCTTTCCATGCATAGTACAGAACAAAAATAAAATTATTCGGCAGCACATTATAACATATTTTTGAACACAAATGTTTCAGATTGAAAATAAGAAAAGGGTTCACTTTCATTCTTTCATGCTGGATGTGCATAGTAGAGTGCATGAGGTAAAGAAGACCATTGTACGAGATGCGACTAGTACCAAGCTGCAACCTTTTGATCCGATACCTCCAGTCGCCTCCGGCATCGCAGAGGAAACTTGGTTGTTGTGCTTTGATGAATTTCAGGTTCAGATTCATATTATTTTAAAAAGAAAAACAAGCATTATTTTGAAAAAGTATAATTATAAATAAAAGACCAATGAAAACAGATACGTTACAGGTAACAGATATTGCGGACGCGATGATATTGAAGCGACTGTTCACGGAGCTGTTTGATAATGGCGTGATAGTGGTTGCGACTAGTAACAGATCGCCAGACGATCTGTATAAGAACGGACTACAGAGAGGAAATTTTGTACCATTTATAAAAGTGCTGAAAGATCACTGCCTCGTTAATAATTTAGACTCTGGAATAGACTACAGATTAAAATCGGGATCCGGAAATAAGAAAATATACTTCATGTATGTAGAAATTACATCTGTATAATTTTTGTGATAATTGTCTATATTGTTGCTATCTAACAAAGCCGTTTAATTACACAAGAAAAGGCAAGGATGCCACGAACGACGTAGATAAAGTCTTTAAATACTTGTGCTCCATGGAAAACGACGTGATTCGACCGCGTACAATTTCCATAAGAGGACGCAATGTTACTTTTCGAAAAACCTGCGGGCAGGTGCTGGACTCCACATTCGAGGAATTATGCGATAGGGTGAGAGGTTTTCTGTTTTGTGAAGTTTTGTATGCTATGTCGATTAGAACTATATGTAATAAGTATTGATCTTACGCAGCCTCTCGGAGCAAGTGATTATTTGCAATTGAGTCAAATCTTTCATACAGTTATAATAAGGGACGTGCCTCAATTGAACCTACGACTTAAATCTCAAGCTAGGCGATTTATTACTCTTATCGATACGTTGTATGATAATAAGGTAAGAATTATGCGGCTTTAATTAGAAATCATAATATTTGCAGTTTGAGACAGAGAATTGATTATATAATACAGAGAATTTTAATAAAAGAGAACTTAGATAAATAGGGTAATACAAAAGCCATTCTTGAAAACTTTTCTCAGAATTTTCGTATGGATTGGAGCTCTTTTTCAGAAATTTAGAAGTTTAGATGTTTTCTCAGAATCTTTTAGATATGTAAATTCTGAAAGATTTCAAAATTTCTTATTTTATAATTAAAAAAAAATACCGTAAAATTTTTCAGAATTTGTAAAATTTTATCAGAAATTATAGAATTAGAAATTTTAGAAATCTTACAATTAGAATATATTTCAAAATTTACGTTTATGCAGAATTCTAAAAAAAGCCATAGATCTTTCGGCACTTTAATTTGTATAAAAAAAATCTGATAAATTTTTTAAAAAGTTGTAAAATTTTTTTAATTTTGAATTATATACGCATTCTTAAAAATTATTTAATAGCTTTGAAAAAATTTTTTACCAGGAGCAATATGTGACTATCGTTTATTAATTGTAGGTACGGGTAGTTATGTCGGCAGCTGTACCACACACGCAATTATTTTTATCGGAAAATGAGTCCGAATATACCGATGAGAAAAGGATATTAATGGACGATTTGAAGATTACACATGGCTCGGTAGACGTCGATTTCACAATGACAACGCAAATATCTCGTATGAAGAATTATTACATTATGTTAATTTTGTTTTCAGGAGGATCACAAGGCAAACATCTTTACTGGAGAAGAGGAAATCTTCGCGTTCGACCGTACCGTGTCGCGTCTGGCTGAGATGCAGACCTCACAGTATTGGGAGCAGTGGGAGCACCACAGATAATAATAGTGTTAAAACTAGCGCAAATAGAGTTTTTGTAGTTCCGTACAAATTCCCATTCACTTAAACTAAACATTGTTAATGACGATTGTAATTTTTATAAAACAATTCTCGCGCAGACAGTTATTTAAGCTTTCGTCAGGTGTGCGCTTTACGCTTGAGGCGTAATTTTTGCGCTTTCTCAGTATTTTACCTCTTAAATTATTTTGTCGAGAATGTAAGTTCCTCGATTAGTCTCTGATTACCTCTAATATTAATTTTATTTATATGATTATTTATGAGCAAAGAATCATACTTATTGTTGCCGAACCCTAATGCAAATATGTATGTTTGTATTTGTGTAAAAAAAATCTATTATATGAAATTTTTGCACTGATGTGCGTTGATTACTCGCTTTTTTGCTACACCACAATAATATCGAAATTTGATATCATATTACTTGTACAGATTTGATCATCGACGATCGGTCATATTGGGATTTTAATTATCCACAGATCCAGTAAATCTGATGGCTTCTACTGGAGCGAAGAATGAGAGAGTATCCCAATTCCTAATAGTGACACTCTGATACAAAAATTGTATTGTTTTCTTTGTTAAGGATTTGCTGAATATTGTTGTACATAAGTAGAGTTATGATAATTCTACAATGTGCTCTTTATTTCCTGTTTCTTGCTGTTTGTCTCTTGTTCACTCTTGCCTTTTTGACGAAAAGGCAAGAGAGTACATTGTAGAATTACCAATAAAGTCGCAGCATAGACTTTTGCCTAACGCATAATGCATAAGCAATGAATCAGAAACCTTCTTTCCTCCCATTTCACGAAAAAAAAATTTTGATTGGTTGATTCTCTTCCGCATCATGTAAAAGTGTACTGCGGCCATCAGAAGAACAAATGTTTACCTACCTTTTCTCTGCCGAGCTACACTAGTTTAGTATGGAGAAAGTGTACCAATATACGATAGAGCTCACAGCTCACTGTTTATCGAAGAAGTAAATTGAATGTATGTGTGTGTTTATGTATAGTTCTAAAAGCCTGTGACATTTCTTCCAACAGTTATTGATCCGCAATAAAAATACAAAATAAATTTTTTGAAAATATATAAATACAAAAAGTATTATGCTTAAAATAATTGTTATTTCTAAATGCTAAAAAATGTTGTATGTATCACATGTTATGAGTGTCTATATAGTTCTGTAATCTATATTATTCTGTCACAAAATATCTGTGCACTTTGTATCTCGTGCTTATCATGTTTATCACTTGTAGTTGTAGCAGTGGGGAATATGTAATTGTACGTCTTACTTTAAACGAAAACGCAAATCTGCAGAAAATTGGCCATATTAAATTGTTGAAAAAGATCTAGGATCTAGGACGACCAATAAAACAAAGAAGAGAAAACAGATCAACAGAGACGTTTTTGGATGTGTACATACATTAATCACACAGCCTGGATATAGTTGATATAGTTTCCGTATAAATTTATCTAAGAAATCATGGATTATCGTTTTCCAGATTGCGATTCGAACGAGGCGATCCAAAGTAATTAATTAACGCTATTAATAATTCTGATTCTATATTATTTTATGAAAGTATCTTTATATATTATTTTTTTATATAATATGCGTGTGTGTATAAATAATAAGAATTACATATAAATAAGTTATATCGTATATTATGTATAAATATGAATATATTATATTTTAAATTTACTTTTTAGGCTGGTTAACAGGTTTGGAGGCATATATTAATGAACCAGCAGTAAACAAATGTGTTCGACAAATAATTTATTTAGCAGATACAATCACTGGGGACAATAAAATTGCTTGGTTACTAAAGGCAATAACTTTCATCGATTTAACTTCTTTGAATAACGACGATACAAGCAGCGTCTTAGAACAATTGTGTGAAAATGTAAATTGGAACATGGAGTTATTATTCTTTAATGTAAATAATATCTATAACTGATTAATTAATTAATATTACAGGCTGCAAACCCTATAAAGAATCTTCCATTTAAATGGAATAATCCACTTCATACTGCTGCTGTTTGTGTTTATCCATCCAAAGTAAAAGATGTTAAAACTACCTTAAAGAAATTGAAGAAAACGGATATAATTAGGATTGCTAGTGGTAAGAAATAAAACATTTCTTCTGATCTCTCTGATGTAAATATAACAATATCTAATATAATTTTTTTTGTAAACTTGTAACGTTATATATTTTTTAAGTAGTTATATGTTTTTATATTTATTGATTAATTATGTTTTTTAAAATTTTGTTTTAACTAGATGTTATATTAATTTGATTGCTTGACTCTTACATTGCCCTTTTCTTAGTGTTGTTTATTAATACCATTTTTGTATCAGTGGCAGCAGGATTTCCTTCTGGACAATTTCCATTAGAGACTCGATTGCAGGAAGTGCAAAGTGCAGTAGAATATGGAGCGCAGGAAATAGATGTTGTAATTGATCGATCGTTAGTTTTAAATCATCAATGGATGACACTATATCAAGAGTTGCGATCTATGCGTGAACTTTGCCCGAAGAATGAGGAAAGAACAGTATGTTTAAAAGTTATAATATCATCAGGAGAATTATTTAATTTAAAAGACGTATATAAGGCGTCCATGGTAGCTCTATTTGCTGGTGCTGATTTCATCAAGACATCTACAGGAAAAGATGTAGTTAATGCGACTTTGCAAGCGGGAGTTGTTATGTGTAGAGCGATAAAAGAGTACGAAAGACTGTCCGGAAAAAAGGTATAGCAATTTAATGATCTGTAATATTCGAAAAGTACATAACATATAGCTTTCATTTTTCACAGGCTGGTTTTAAACCTGCTGGAGGAATTAAGACTGCGAAAGATGCTTTGGAATGGATGGTCTTGGTTAAGGAAGAATTGGGGAATGATTGGTTGACAAGCTATCGTTTCAGAATTGGTGCATCAAGTTTACTGCAAAATATTAGTACTGAAATTATCACAATATATGAAAACAAGTCAATTCAACAACCACTGGAAGATTCTGCCAGTACAAACCAGATATCTAAGGAAAAAAGTAAAGATGAGGATAATAATGAAGATGAAGAAGCTAATAAAGACAAAGATAAAAATAAAGAGACATTAATTAATTGAGTCTGGATAAGACACAGTGATAAAATATTTTATATTGTTTTTATATATTCGTAATTTTGATCATATTTTTGAAAATAATTTGTACGTATTAATAAATGAATAAATTTTATATAAATTTTTCATGGTGCTCTAAGAGTTAACTGATTAAAAAATTCATTTGAAGTTAAAACTAATACTGTGTGTGTGTATGTGGTACACACAATCAATGATGAGATTTGGGATTAGATTCTTCTAGGAAATTATAAAACTGATATGAAGGTACTTTTTCCCCTAATTCCATTTGAATTCAAGGGAGGATCAAAAATGGCCTTTATCACAATTCCTCCTTATCTTTTAGACTACGTCATGAAATATATAAGTAGTACAGAATACGTTAGAATAAGCTATATCGCGACGCTCATGCGTCTAAATATATCAATCAGTAAGTAGATCCTACATAATTGACATACTTGCACATAATGTTACGAACACGTAAATGTACAAGTATCTCGTTAAAATCATCTCAATTTCATTTTTTTTTAGCTGACACATGATCAAGATGTAAAAATCGCACAGATGATTATTATAAAAAGTATTTAAAGGGATAATTTTTTTGCTAAGGAGTTTACTTGAATATTTACGTGCGTTATCATTACAAGAAACATTTTATATCAAAACGTATCAAAATGCGGTATAACCAATTCATATATAAAATGCATAAAACATGAAAAAAATTATGGCGTAATGAATACTGCAGTTCTCTTTGGACCGAAAGTGTATTCATATTTAAAAATTGATTATATTCTTGAAAAAGATTAGCTCAATTTTGAATGATTTAAAGTGAGATTTTACTTTTTAGAATATATATGAGAGATTTACTCTAAAAGTTTTAAAGAGTTAATTCGAAGAAATATTCAATTTAAGGACGCACAATAATTCAAAAATAGATATATATTTAATTTATTCATCTTAATTTCAATCTCAGTTTCAATTATTATCAAATAATTTTGATCAAATAGGTTTGATCAAAAAAATATATATTCATTCTCGAGCATAAGTTTATTTCTTTTTTTTTTTACACAATACAATTGAAAATTGAAGACATTTCGATTTCATAGCTGCGGATTCTCTCTCCTTCGGGGATATTATTCCACTTAGGACCCACTGATAGATCCGCAGATTCGTCCGGACGGAGGCGGGCGCAATTCGCCACCGGAAATCGAGGCTCAAATCCAATATAGATCGATCAGTAAATAGATCTCGAGCCGGCGCGAGAGCCCGCGTCATCGGCTGCCCCTCGCGTAGTATTTGCAGCTTGCAAGCTTCGCTGCGTCTTGCCCTCTGGCAAAGCTTGTCGTGACACCGTTTCGGCCGCATTGTGCCGGGTAGCGGCCGGGGCCCCGGCCCGTCCTTCCGTCACCGTCGGCTTTATTCCGCACTAGTCGCACGGCTCGCCCAGCTCCAGCGGTCGTTCCGCGCGTTTCGGCCGTGTCATGCACCAGCGAATGCGGTGAGTCCCCCGGATTGCGCGTACATTCGTCCACGCGGCACGCGCCGCATCCGTCCCCCCCGCCGCGCCCTCGCCGAGTTGCCTTGGATAATTTGTACTAGATAAGCTCGGTTCGCCGCTCTCGGCAAGTAATATACACGACACCACCGAGCAAAATATATCGCACCATCGGCATACGGGATCACCTCCTCGTCATACACTCTATATTCGGATACCGCGCGCCGCTTCCGCGTCGGCATAGCGCGGATACGCGGGCCGGCGCGGCGCGACGTAGGCGCACACGGGAGTAAAACGGAAGGAGAGATTGCGATGTTGATCCGTCGGGATTATACTTACGCGGAACTTGCAAGAAAGATTTAAACTGTCCTTTAAATTTTTAGAGTGAATCTTACTCCGAAGAGCGGAATCTAATTCTTCAAGATTGAAAATTAAGCCACTCTATTTAAACACACTGGCTCAATTTTTACTCCTTAGAGTGAGATTTTACTAAAAAAATGTAGAGTACATAATATGTTGTACAAAAAAATATTAGAAAAATCGTGAGTTCTACTCGCTGAAGAAATTAAGAATTTGATTTTTCCGTTGTGAACTCTTTTTTGAAGTGGGATCTCACTTTACAAAGATTGAAAATTGAAATCGTGAAGAAGAGCGACTCAATTTTTAATCTTTAAGATTTTACAGAGAGTGAAATTTACTCTAAATTTTAGAGAGAAAAGATGTATTATTGCAGATAAATCGAAACGATCTTCCGCAGCACTAAACTCTGAATTGAGATCACAACGACTTCGATTACAGCTTATATTGTATAAAACTCCAGCACTTGTCGGATTTATTATCGCGATTTCAGCTAATGTTTTCAATTTATAAAGAAGAAAAGCTACATTGTGCAAGTTAAATTTTAATTTAGTGATATTGATATAGTAATGTGTAATAAAGTTAACAAGATCATCAATCATTTGATGACATTTGATTTTGACATACATATTGCTCGCTTGCCAATTAAAATTTATTTGTTGGCTTGGATTCTATTTAAAATTTATGATTATATTTTTAGACATTTCTTACCTTGGCACTTCACGCGTAACACGGAATCGTTGACCCCTCTCTAAATGACGCAAATTTTTATCACTCATCAGGGTATACATATAGAATTATTTGTTTCCTCGGTTGCATTCGTAAACAACGTTAAAATAGAACTGGAATCTGCAAGAAGCCCGTATCCGACTTTCGTGTTGCCGTATCATTATTACGTAACGTTTAAGATTCCGTAAAAAAATACATTATGTTTTATATTTATATTTAAGATTCTAATAAAAAATATATAAAATATTGGTTGTATATAAAATATGTTTTATATATATGGTATATAAATTTCATTAGCTTCATCATCTTATTGTAAAAATTAGAGATGCACCGGATCGTAAAATTATCGAATATCGGATATCCGGGAAGGCAATTTTTCGAGTTGGATATCCGATATTTCCGGATATCCGACCGGATTTCAGAACAAGTTCAGCTGAGTTCGCATCAATGATGCAAACTTTCAACATAAAATTTCAGCCAGATATATTGTCAGATACTAGTGATATCCGATTGGATGGCAAAAAAAAGTACCGGATATTTCCCGAATATCCAGTACATCATTAATAAATATAAATATAAAATATAATTTCAGATGTAGAGCGTCATGGCAATCAATATAAAATTTACAAAATTCGACAACACACCATGGGGCTTTCGACTAGCTGGTGGCAGCGATTTTCCGCAACCACTTACTGTTATCAGAGTGAGTTTCATATTTCTCTCATTTAGCGGTTAATAATGCTAATAAGGATGTTAAAATCACAAAATTATAATTCAAGTAACATTGTTCATTTTTATATTCCAAACATGAAATACGCAAATAGAACGTGACGGTTCTTATTTTTAATTATAACAATTTAATTATTTAAAATATTATTATTTTGGTTATTGTCTCAAGAATTAAATCTTAAAGATTAAAAGAAAAATAAGATAAAATTAGAATTGAAAAAAAATCGAACGTAATCTACAGGTTACGGAGGGAAGCCTGGCCGAATGTATGGGTTTAAAGATCGGAGATGTCGTAGTAAGATTGAACGATCAATCGATTATCAACTTGACTCATGGACAAGCGCATGAAGCACTAGTGCATGCTGGTAACAACTTCGTTTTAGGTGTGCAAAGGTAAGTCTCTCGCAAGAATCATCATCGATTATGTACGAGCTAAGGAAGATTAATCATAGCATATTTTATACAATCTCTTTTCTTTAAAACGTATTCTGAGCATAATTGTAAATGCATGTGTTTATATAGAATGATCTTGTCAAAAAAGTTGGAAAAATTAAGACATTCTTTTAACTTCTTAAATTACATTTGAAATCTTAATTGATAAATTCCTTCAATTAAAGTTAAATGTTTACATTTGTTTTGTCCATTAGAGATTACTAGATAGAAAATCATTCTATATATTGCTATTCAAAAATACACATTAATTAGATTCATGCATACATATACGTAATGTTTACATTGGATAATAACAAAACAGGAAATGGAGATAAATGACGCTCGATTGCGCCGGTTGTACCGCGGCCAAGACGAATAAGCTAGCGGGTACATAAATGAGACAGCTAAGTCGAACGCGACTCGCATAAATTAGGTTCTTGTCCCATACGGTCTCTCCCGGGAGAAATCGCTTTTAACCAATATTAGTTCTTGAGATTATTGATAGTGAAATTGCGCCACGTGTCGAGAGGACGGACAAAATATTATATTTTCGGTATTAATGCGCAATTTGTTACCGAGTTTCGATCTATTTCTTCTTGCTGCTGCAAGAGATTTTAATATCTAATAAAGCATATTACATATGTAATATATATATATATATATGTATACGCATATATAAAATAAAAGAATACAAATAAATAAATTATTTAAAATATGTCATCAATGTGGCTGCGATCAGCAGAAAAAGCGGCTTTGCAACTCTATTGTAAAATTCTTAAATAATTAGTTTATACATTTAAATCCAGTAAGAACAAGACCAATCATATTAAAGAATTTTACAACAGCTGCAAAGGTGCTCTTTTTGCTAAACGCAACCAATTTGTAGATATTACATACTTTTTGACTCATTATACTAATAATGAAATAGAATGATATAGAGACATCCAAAAGTACGGAAGAACTGCCGAGGCGCGCGAATTCTTTCGATCGTCTTACATCGTTACCTAAATCGGATTTAATTTCGAAGCACAATAGTCAAAGGCTGTGGTCAATTTAATGAGTCCCCAAGGATCTCGTGCTTAATGAAGAAGAACGGGCGGTACGCGTCGTTCATTGCCGGCATACTCTCGATAATAACTTCGGCGACGGTGCAAGAATATCCCGCGGCGTATGAGTTACGTGTGCAGCAATGTATTGCGAAACCTATAAATAGGTGACCCAGAATGAGAGATCTGTTTATCATTGGTCGGCGATTTTATTACTGGGTCCCCGGT